CCAAAACAAATCAAGGCGGTTCGAAGAGTTTGGCAAGCAGCAAATGGCTGGTAAGAAATTCATTAAACGAAAATGTATGCCCAGTCACATTATTTTTGAAATTAATGGAAAAAGGGGGACCAAAGATTTCATCAGACAGACTCTTTCTTATCGTTCACCCCAACTGGAAGGATAGATTTTGGTTCAAAAACTGCTCACTTAGAATCAACTCCGTATCTTAGTGGACAAAAATGTCAGCTGAAAAAATTGGAATTGACACAAAAAACATAAAATAACAAACCATTCTCATCAATCTTCAGCTGTGTCAGCCTTGTTCAAGCAAGGTATTTCTGAACAGGAGTTATTTAAATTAGCGGGTCACCCAAATGCAATCTCTCTAAAACCATATGTGTAGCTAGATTGCAATTACCACCAGAAGTTGATCAAAAATCTCATAACAACAAATGAAGCTGGACCTTCGAGTTCCCAAATGCTACAGGTCACTATACATGATAATGCACAAAATCATGCTTTGTTAGAAAAGAATGCTCAAACTACTATAGGTTATAATAATTGGACATTTATTATTGTTAACAAATAAATAAAGATTATGTTTAGTTGATATGATGCATTAATTATCTTGTAAAATAGTCTTGTCGAATATCATTCGAGATAAATTTTTTTTAAACAGATGAGTCTTTTGACATATGATTTTGAGAATTCACTACATTGAGCAGATGGCACAAATCTGAAATAAGTGTGGGAGGTCTTTCCCCCACATGTAACCTAGAAGAACAATGGGATGCACTACCTTCTTTATAATACGTAAAGGATGAGAGGAAGGGCTCCCATATTATAAGTCCCATTGCCTTACAAAACAAATCATCTATAATGTTACGATCCTCGCTATCTTCAGCGGACTCTACCAATATGTTCTCGATTGCATCCTGTGCGCATTCATATTTATCATACTCAACCTGTAAATACTCACGAAGAACTTTCAAAACATAATCAATATCGACCAATGAAACATTTTTTGCAACCCAATTACAATGACGAATAATTGCATTCTTTGCAGACTGTCTCTTGAATTTGAGGCTGTCCGTTGTTTAAACAAAAATAGAGCAGCTAATATTTAAAACTGACAAGACAAAAAAGAAAAAGATTGTGGATAAGTAAGTGGATTTTTTATAGAAACAAACCAAAGAGAGACTTGTAATAGTCGAAAGCAGGTCTTTACAATAAGACAACCACAAAAAAAATTAAAAAAAAAACTGTCTTCACAGACCGGGTATCTTATCAAGGAAATGAAATATCCCAACATAAAACGATTACAAATTGTTACTAATATTCATACAATCACGAAAAGTTAAACAAAAAAAAAATGGTTGCAATAACCGAAAATAATTTTTTCCACCCCCACAAACACTAACGAACGCAAAAGAAGAAATGTCTCTACAGACTATATATTGTTTTGTACAAAATAAATACCCCAATGTAAATGGCTATATGGTTATACTAACCGCAAAAACGTCTCTAGCACAAGAAAACCCTGAACAAGAAAAAGTAATAATGTCTTTCAACAGACTGGGACAAAAGAAATACTCCACTACAAGCAGTATAAAGAAATCAGCAAAAAATTGTTATAAAAACCTGAAAAAGGTCTCTGTCATAAGAGCACCTTGAATAAAGTATATAAAAAAGAAATAGTCTGTCGGCAGACTAGTTATCTTTCAGTATAAAAGAAGTCTCAATATAAAATGGTTATAAACCGTAAAAAGGTCTCTGTAGAAGGAGCACCTTGAAAATTAATGCAAAGAAGAAAATCGTCTTTCTGCAGACGACTGGATATCTTTTAGTATAAAAGATATACCGTAATGTAAAATGGGTCTAACAACCGCAAACTAGACCTCTGTCAGAAGAGAACCTGTTCAAAAATTTTCTTCTCGTTATATTCGAGTTTGTTGCCTATTAGCAATTTTCGCTTTAAAATTTAATTTGCGAAAAATGTCAAGCAACAAACTTTCATACAAGTTGAAAATATTGCCCGCAAAATTTTCTCTCTTATGATATTATATGCGACTAAATTATTTATGTAAAATGAACCCAGCTCTAGAGAGAACAAAATTAAGATAAGAGTATAGAATTTTTAAATGTGAAGAGTACCTATCAGTCGCTTAATATATCGTCAACAGATTTTTGGCGACTAACTTAAGAGCACAAATAGAAAATCACCAGGAGAGGACAGAATACCTAACGAACTCCTAAAGTACGGAGGACCAGATCTGACCAAACAACTATTAAAACTAATCCAAAAAATAATAGAACAAAACAGAATTCCTCAAGAATGGAGATCAAGCATCTTAGTACCTCTCTTCAAAAAGGGAGACAAATCGAACCCGGAAAATTACAGAGGAATTAATTTATTAAACACAACACTAAAATAAAAACCAAAGTGATAACAAATAAATTGAATGAAATTATAACACTAGCAGAAGAACAACAAAGTTTTAGGTCGGGGGAACATCATGCACCGACGCTATATTTATAATGAGGCAAGTGCAAGAGAAATCATTAGAAAACAACAAACCGGTATATCTATGTTTCGTGAACCTTACAAAGGCATTTTGCCGGGTCAAATTAAAAGACTTTATCCACTTAATGTACGCAAAAGAGATACCTCTAGGAACAATCAAACGATCGAAAATATCTACCAAAATAACACAATCAAAGTAAAAGTAGAGGAAGAATTAACCGACCCTATTGAAGCTGGCAATGGGATAAGACAGGGAGATTCCCTGAGTCCTCTATTGTTCAACCTGGTTATGGATGAAATAATAATAAAAGTAAGAACAAAAAAAGGATACCAAATGTGAGAAAAACAACTTAAAATAATCTGCTATGCAGACGACACAATACTACTCTCTCAAAGTGAAGATTATTTACAACGTATGCTGCACCAATTTAATATAACCGGCAGAAAATTTAACATGTTAATTTCCCCAACAAGACAAAGTGCATGGTTACAACAGCAAATTTACTAAGATGTAAATTGGAGCTGGAAGGTCAGATAACAGAACAAGTGATAAATGAAACAATATGGAGAAATAAAAATATCGGGAAAGGAACGAAAGGCAGAATTTACAAAAAAAGTCATCAGACCAATAATGACATACGCGGCAGAAACAAAACCTGACACAGAGAGGACAAAAAGGATGTTAGAAACAGCAGAGATGATAACACTTAGAAAAATTGATGGTCAGACACTATGGGGCAGAGCTAGAAGTACAGATATATGACATAGATGCAAGGTGGAGAACATCATAAACTGGGTAAGAAATAGAAGAGTAGAATGGAACGATCATATAAGCCGAATGTCAACAAATAGAGTAGTAAAGACGGCAAGAGACGGTTCCCCAATAGGAAAACGATCAGTAGAAAGACCACGAAAACAACTTACTGGAGGCACGTTAAAAAACAGACAAAGTCATACTTGTTAAAGTGTTTTTTCTGGTTGTTAGGCCGTTGTCTTCTGAGATCAGTTCTCGACGTTTCGCCAACACTAGCGGTTGGCATCTTCTGGAGATGTTAATGCTTCGCTTGTAAGCAGAAACTGACGCCGCGTTTTACTACGGAGGCAATATTTATATTTTCCACTCGCCTTTCCTCCACTGGTTTCCTCTTGAGGGGGCGTGTCGTTATTTGCAGTAGCTTTTCTTTCTTCGTGTTTTGCAGGAGAGGTGTTTGGGGTTTTTAATATTGCTATCCATGTCTTGTTAATTTTCAGTCCTTCTTCTATCCGATTAAAATTATTTGGGTGCCCATATATTTCCACCGCTTCCCGATACGACCATGGGTAGTACTGTGAAGTTTTGTCCAGCATCTGTGTTTCTTCAAACAGTATCCGATGTTCTCCGCTTCCCAAAGCGTGTCCGGCAACGGCAGATTTGTCAATATGTCCTAAACGACAATGGCTTTTATGTTCATTTATCCTTGTGTTTGTGTGTCTTTTTGTGGTTCCCACATATACCATTCCACATGTGCATGGTTTTCGGTATACTCTGGCAGTTGCTAATGGGTCGCGTTTGTCTTTCACCGATCTTAAACAGTCCTTGTTGACGTTGGAAACGTTGGCTTTCTTAAGTTCGTCCGTTACCCCCGTCTTCTTCCTTTCTTCTAGAGACGTTGTTCATCGCTTTATGTATTTCTCTTCTAGTATAACCAATAGAGGTGAGTGCTTTTTCAATATGAAGAAGTTCACTTTTTAGATGCTGTGGTTCACAAATTCCCTTCGCCCTCTCCTTCGAGTTTTGATGATACCTTGTTTTTGCATTGGATGATGATTTGAGTTCCTGTTTAGGTATCTGTCCGTGTGTGTAGGTTTTCGATACACTTTATGTCCTAAGTAACCTTCCTTTCGATTTACTAATATTACTAATAAAAAGAAGAAGAAGAACTTAAGAGCAGAGTTCTTCAGAGCAATATTCTCTGAATTATACAAGGAAAAAATGAGCAAAATTATTTAAAAAAAAATCTGTCAACAATTTTATACATTTTTGGGATTCAAGGGAAGACTTTAGCACTTCTCCTATGCGTTTTTTTACACGTCAGGGAAAGATTCAGTATTATTTAGTTTTTTCCATTAACGACTTATGTAATTTTAATACACTGATAACGCAACAATCTTATCCTCCAGCAGTTTATCTCCCGACTAAAAATTTCCTAATAATCTTACCGAAATTTCGAGAAGAAAACACCGAAACCTGTCCCTGCAGTATTTACGTTCGTCAAAAAAGTTCCACGCGTTTTCGCTCCGCCTGGTATCCCACGCTGTCGTACAAAGACCTTAATCGTAGCCACCCAATTTATTATAAATTATACGAGTAAAATACTACCAGCTCCCAAACTAATCTACCGCGCCGCGACTGGAAATTCCGATTTTTAATTGCCGATGCGGTCCTGTGTCGGTTGAACAAAACGCCGCACTATCAAAGTTCCCCATTGCTAACAGTTGATCCTCAAAACCTTCGGTGCATCAACAGTGCGAACATACCCAATTGATCCATTTTTTTACCTTCAGTTTTCCACTTGTGATGAAATTTCGACCTGAATTTTTTTCTGTTGAAAGAGATTGTGGCTAAAAGTGAGTGATTTTTCAGTGATGCAAATGTCGGACCAGGATTTCGCCGGGGAAACTAATGAAAATTTAAATTTTGGTAAGTTTTTCTTTTAGTTTTCAACCCATATGCACAACTATTTTGTTTTATCCAAGTAATTTACACATAAAACCGTAATTTTTCAATGTTTATATCGAAATTAAATTTTATGGTTGTTTTTTTCGATATTAATTAGTAATCCAATGTTTATTTATTTTTAATTCGTGGAGTAATTCGTAAAATGTACAAACTAAAATATACTTTCTCATTTTTATTGATAATATAGGCCTGGTAATGTTTTATGAATGCAAAAAGGGATTAACCCTTTTGATTGCAGTAGCTGACCTAATAATAAAAAAAACAGAGAAGAGCTTAATTTTATTGCTTACTGAGATTGAATTTTACATAATAAAGTAAACAATATGTTTTAGTTTTTAAATTAAGCTTGACAGAAATTGACGAATATTCGCATACAGGGTGAACTACAAAAAAAAAACGATTTTCTCAGATTCTTTAAACGTACAACCCTATATTTTGTTTTTTTTTTCACAATATTTCATTTATAATGCCCTTTAATTTGTATAAAACATTGTCAACTTGGTCTTGTAGTATAATAATATAACAAAATCATTTTTATTCAATAAATTTAAATAAATAAAAATTTTCGGAGATTGGAAATTCTTTACAAGAAAGTGGCACATTGTCAAAAGTTTAATCAAATTTTTACGAAGAAGTAGAGGCAATAACCTAATACCAAAGAGCTTGAAGTTACGTCCAGCATATTCAAGCAGAACTTTGGATAACATTCTACATAGATCCAGTTTGCCCATGATCCGCAAAAGATTACAATTTCATAGGCCTAATTTATTTTTTGTTGAACAAAACGTTGTAAGTATTAAAGATTTGCTTTTCAATGTGATATAAAATTATGATTTTGATTATATAGTATATGAAAATTCATATAAGAAACAAAGAAATATAAATTTAAATACAATTAATATTCTTTTATAGAACAAAACAGTATTCAATAAATAACTAACATAAAATATAAACCATAACAATATGTCTAAAGTCTGTCTAAAGTGAAATAAGTCTAAAGTAAATGTTCAAAATGTCTACATCCAACGTCTAGGCAAGTTTGCAATCGATATTCAAATGACCGGGCCATATTTCTAACATTTGTAAGTCAATGTTATTAAAAGTTTCTTTTATTCTATTTTTCATATCATCTAGTTGTTGGGGGCTTCTGGTACACAAGGTTTATTATATAGCCTTTCATAAAAAAATCAATTCAGCTGCCCAAAACCAATTTTTGACAATTCCGGTGATAGCAGTGGCTAAACAGTTGGTTCTACTCTGCCTATCCATCTAGTAGGAAAGTTATTATTTAGATGTTTGTGAATATGAGCAGCATGATAAACTAGAGCACCGTCGTGTAAAAACACATCCTTTGTCGAATATTAGGTGGAACATTTTGCAGCAATAATGGCAAATGATTATTCAGAAAATCCAGATATATAGCACTATTTACACGGCCGTCAAAAAAAAGTGGGTGAATAATATAGTCCTCAACAATACCACTTCAAACATTTATAGACCACCTACTTTGACTATGCCTGTTAATAAAATATTGCTTGATGCATATTAATGAAAATTTTGCCGATTCACTGTCCCATTTTTATGAAATGTAGCCTCATATCCAAAAAGCAAATAATCGAAAAAAAATCGATCGCTATGCACTTGCTTCGGTATGATTGATTTCGTTTCATTGTAACCTACGGAGTGAACACCAAATAAATATTACATCTGACGCAGTATCTACTATTTCTTTAACAACTTTCAAAAAATAGTGTTATGGAATACTATGCGTTTATTTCTTCTCCGGACTAACTCTTTGTTTTGGAATTAAACAGAATATATTGACATGTATAAATTTATTATATTAGAGGATGAAAATTACACTGCTTGTTATTTCTTAAAACTATGAATTTATAAGTTCTGTTATCTACAATTATTTAACGATGTTTCTGGATGGATTTGAGTACAAGAGATTGGACTCAAATATTAATATTAAAATAGCAAATACGGATAGCTTATCGAACAAAGAAATAAGAGAAATAAATTATTATTATTCCATAGATACGAAGTATTAGGCGAATAAACTAGCGAAACTTATTTATTCTAAATAGGAAAATATTTATGAAGAGTATTGATTCTGATTTCTAACAGCAAATAATTATTAGTGATTATACATGAGAACTTTTCATAATTGTAAATAACATATACCAGGTGACTAAAAACTATATAGAAATACATAGATACTTTAATTATCTTACATGTGAGTAGGTAGGTACATTACACCTCCTTTTGTAAGAATGAAAATAATTGTAAAATGAATTTTCATTTAAATGGTATAAAACATTTGTATACATTATTATTTTATTTTAACACATTTAAATAGTTTCTTTTAGTCTCGATAGTCTTTCACTTCGTCTTATCGGTGTAGTCTCTGTGAAACTAGTCTCTTCACACTTTTTGGATTCACTATAATTATTGTCTTTATTATGTTTACAATCTATACTTAAATCTGTCTCATGTACATGTTTTCGTTTACTTTGACATATATTTAGTGTTAAACAATTTGTAATTTGTTGACAACTATGTGACGGATTTCTACGAAATCGTCGGTAAAAATATTTAATTATCCTGTATAAAATATAAAGTAACATACATTTTATCAAAAATAAGATTGCATAAGTGAAATAAGAACTATTTTTTATTGTGTCTGAAAAATTAATATTTGTTTCTGAGGTCATTTTCTCTAAATTATCTAGTTTATGGCTTGCTAAATTTAATGCATCTCGATCGAGATTATTTAATTGTAAGGGAACAAGGTGTAATTTGGATTCATTATTTATCTTAATATCATCACAACAGACTTCTGGAAGGGATAAATCTGGAATGATAGACTGAAAATTACTTTCTTTTGGATTTGAGACAGATATCAAAATAGTTGATCCGGTGTAAGTTTTGCAATTATTCGAAGTAGAAAAAATACCTGTGTTTGAAAGAACAATAGATATTGGCGTACTAGTCTGACAGCTTAAAGTTAAATCTGTTGGTTTGGGTAAAACATATATCCAAGAATTTGGTTTGTTTAATTTATGCCAAATTTCATATTCTGTTTGAATTATACGAGTATCGCAACTAGATGGTATGTTTGTTATTGAAGTTAACAATTCAGTTTCACAAATTGGATTAGTGTGTGTAAATCGGAAAGTATCAGGATTTTTGCAAATAAGTTTTTCTTCATCTAATGAATAACAGTCTTCTAATGTATCAATAGTAACATAAATGTTTCTATTTTCTGAAAGAACAAGATATTTGACAGATGGAAGAATAAAGGTAAGTCTCTTTAATGTTGGATGAATTATAGGAAGAGATATTAGTTTAAAAAGAGAATAAGGAGTATTACTAACCAAAGGTATACTAACCGTAATTAAAATCTTGTTATCAAAATATATATATTTAAGTAAAATGATATCGAAATATTTATGAGCATAATCGATAGTCAATGGAAATGGATAAGTCGATGTACTAGGTAAATGCGTTACCGTTTTAGATAATTCTTGAATTAGTTGCTCAGGTGTTATAACAGAAGGATGAAGGTTATTATTTCTTGCAAATAGAATAACGTTTATTAAAGTAGAATATTCTTGTTGTAATTCTGTTATAAAGAAAGTTAGTAAAGTAAAATGTTCTTCAATTTTTTGTTTTAAATCTAAATTAAAATATTTATTATTCATTTTATCTGTGTAATTGGTAATTGATTCAAAATTTTTATCAAAAATCACTTTGTTTCGGTCTAGATTTGTAATAGAGTTATTAAAATTTGCAATCGTGGCTTTTACTACATGAATTTGTTGTTTTAGTAAATCAAGAAGATGATTTTCGTTACTTTCAGCTTTGTTAATAGCATTATTGAAATTTTCAGCATCATCACTGTCTAAGGTACCGAATAAGGTCCTGAAAACAGATCCAATTGCATTAAATAGAGCGCGTTTTGGTCTAAAATGTTCATGCAGAATTATGTTTTTTAAAGTTTGTTCATCTTGAAAGAGTCTAGGTATGATTTGTCCTAAGAGTTTTAGTGAAGTATCACATAATCGTAATTCAATAAGAACTGGTTTGTTTTGACACAGTCTTAATGTTTTTTGATAGGTGAGATCTACAAAATTTAATTTGTCTGTAAAAGGTTGTAAAGGAATATGACTTAATATGTTCCAATGAGTTTCAATAAATTGAACATTTTTTATGTGTTCGTAATAGATTCCAGGTGATTTGTTGATAGGAGTATTGGTATATTTCTTGTGAATTTGTTCACTATTTGTCAGCCATATTATTGCATACCTGAAACAAAAGCATGTTTCAATCTATTCATGTGAACTTTTATTGGTTTTTTATTTACTAAAATTGTGCAATTGACAGGAGAATTTATCTCTAGAATTTTATAAGGTCCATTATAATTTTGTGTAAGTTTTTTGGTTTGACCCTTCTTTGTTTGCTCATTTTGGAGATATACTAATTGTCCTTCTAAGAAAACGGTGTCATTAATCTTTTGGTCATAATATTTTTTACTGACTACTTTAGATTCTAATAGATTCGTTTTTGCTAACTCATGAGATTTTCTAAGTTTAAGTGTTAAATTATCTAAATAATCTTCATATGTATATTTGAGTTCTACTGGTCGTATTATACTGCTAGGTAGATTAGGTGTATATCCAAATATTAGTTCATATGGTGTGAATTTGGTTGAAGTATGATTAGTTGTATTATATGAAAACATAGCAAAATCTAGCCATTCGTCCCAATCGGATTGATCAGCTTTAATATAATGTTTAAGGTAGTCTGCTAAAGTAGCGTGACTCCTTTCTAATGCAGCATTTGATTCTGGATGATAAGCAGTACAATTTATATGTCTGATTTTAAAAAGCTTGGCGATTTGAGAAAATAATTTGGAAGTAAAATCTCGGCCTTGATCAGTAACTATTATATCGGGT